AATAAAACTTACCTTTTACGAAAAAAATAACTTGGGTGTACTATAAATATGCTCATATGTATTCATTCAAAGGGGAGGCTGACGAAGCTTAGTGGTCGTGCTTAATGGTTTCATCCTTCACCACGAAGCTAAGTCAAACCTCCAGGTCGAAGTTCCAGTTAAGTTTGGTTTCACTTCGCCAAGTAAGTTCCTGACAGAGCTTAAGTGTCCAGCATACTTGTTTTATCTCTTTATTCATTAATATGTATTTAGAGTTATTCTTTGAGATCTTGTAATTGGGAAAAAGGGTTTTGAGTGTTTTATGTATTAAGGTGTAAGAGTTCGTGAGGATTCTCGTTTTTATAATATTGTATTGTAAGAGTGCAATGTGTGAGCTTCTAGTGAGAGGCCGAGTGTAGGCATTTTGGGAGAGCTGAGTGAATCTAAGTTTGGGAGTTAGGTTGGGTAAGATAGCGTCTTATCGTGTAGCAAGTTCAGTCAGGAACATGTGAGAAAGGTCTGTTTGTAATAGGTTCGTAACTAGGAGTGTTTGGCTTATTATAGTGGATTGGTTTGGCTTGAAATCCCTTGGAGGGTCGAGGTTTTAATTCCAGTTGGTCCCTGGATGGTTTCCTCGTAAAATCCACTTTGCATTGTCTAAGTTCCTAACAACAATCAGTTTTATATTCCGCGAAAAGTCGGCACTAGGAACATACTACAATTCACCCCCCTCTTGTAGTATATCATCCGAAATAACAAAGTGGTGTAACATTCACCCATTAATCCCCAATAACAGCTAGCTTTTATCAACATTAAAAGGGGTAACGACTAGTCTTTTAATGACAACATTAATCAGCAATAATGCCCATTAAATTAGCAATAAGAGGAAGCTAAAATTAAGGGTTCCATTGGCCATTAAATCCTAATAATCAAAAGACTCCATATGGAAACATCCTGTAACTTTCTTTATTTTACTTCAAGAACTTCCAACAATCCCCCACAGGTTCGAAGAAGTGAAAAGAAAGAAAGAGAGAAAATTGGTTTTGGACAAAACAAAGCAATTGTATAAGTGTCAATATCTCGCAACTTGAATTAACACATAGTGGACATCAAGCTATGATCCCTCACCTACCAAGTGACCTTCGTCTTGAACTTAATAGGGAGTTAGGGACCCGTCACTTTGAGCCACACAATTGAACATGTATAATATTCTGAAATTCAGCGAATAAAGGTGACGCATTATACTGGCCATACGTCCAGCCTGGATGATCATAGGTGCTCTAGAGTATTAGCCCTCACAATACTCATATGAAGTGGCCACACTTCGACACTTAAGTAGATGAATCCCATCAAGTGTGAGCTACATCACACCACCAAAAATATGGATATGGGTTCATTAAGAGCCATTTGCTCATCCTCTTTCCATTTGTAGCAACCTCATATCAAACATCTAGGGATGGACAAAAATAAAATTTTTGTGCTTCCGAATTATTTTATAATGTTCCCCTTTGAACTATAATGAGAAGGAGTTGATTACTTGTAATTCATGCTTTGGGCTTTTAGTCCCATCCCCTCCGATGTTACCAAAACTAGTTTTGTACAAGGCCTTTAGATAACGAATCCTTAACATTTCTTTTAGACTTTATGTAGTATTCTAGTGATATCACCCCATTCGACAAATCATCTTTGACATCAACCATTATAGGCATGGTTCAATCAAAAGTAACCACGATTTGCGAATCACAACGAATTCCCCTTCAATGGGATATTTGCAAGCATATTTGCTCATAAGAGCCATATACTCTTGATCATCTTGCCTCATAACCTGTCAATTCAAGAGCAATAAATTTAGATTATTCCAAAATAAACATAGCAAATCAAGGTTTCTTTGCACAATTTTCAAAAATAGCTCCACCACTTAGTGATGCAGACATAACCACTTGAGTTTGTACTCATTGTCAAACTTCAAGAACTCATGGAAACTTACAATAGAGCAAACTCTAATTGTTTGTACTTTTCAAGTACCTATGAAACCTCTCAAAACTATCTAATGATCATTGCTCGAGTTAAGAGTATACTTGCTTAATCTACTTACAAAATAAGCAACGTTAGATTAAGCATAGTTCCCAAGAAACATAACACTACTAAATGGACACAAATTGCTCCCATATGATCAATAAGATCAAAAACTTTTATATTATAGCAATGACTCATCCATCACAAGTTTAGTCTTAAAGACTTCCAAAAAAACTTAGTGAATTAGCAACAAATAAAATCCATAGAAGAAATATCAAGCATTACAATCCTAAGAAAAAGATTGTAGAATTCTACACATAGTTAGACATAACCTAACTCATAGTCAACGATTTCATCCACGAAAACAATCACTCATGCCATTTCACTAGTTTAAAGCTGATACTCTAAAGACATAAAGATACCAAAATAATCTTGTAAGACAATCTCGATCAAAAAATTGTCTTTAGCACAATTAATCACTTTCGGACTTCACATTAAACAATAGAAAACTCTAACATTAATAGTGCCTCTCATTTTTACCAAATTTAAAAATCCATCGCCGTTAATAAAAGAAGAAAGAACGATATGACATTACAATGTGCATATCTAATCACTTGAAACATAGTGCTAACACACAAATATGTTCAAAGACAAATTATCCATATAAAGGATCAATCAGGCTCAGAATAAAAATTACTCCAAGACTCGCCTACAAAGTCATGAACTATATGCAATTAATAAGCAAAAACTGAGTCAAGACTTTGAGTCCAACACTAATTCTTTATTACTTCCCCCACATTTCACAACAAAGTCCGATTCAAAACCCTTACCAATGCACCCACATTCTCAATGAATGAAATATTTGGATATAAAAACCTCCCTCATAACTTCACATTTATGGGGTCTTTATTAACATAAATTTCTTATAAAGAAAACGCATAAGTTTATAAAACATGAACCTCCACATGAAAGGAAAAGGTTCAAATACCAAAATAGAGCATAAACAAATACATGATTGGGAAATAATTCATAACTATGTCATAGCATTGGGTATAATAACATATAAGGTGGACAAGAGCAAAGATCTTTGAAACATTGAATTAATCAAAGATAATAATTCAACATCACTTAAAAATATTAACTCCCAAGCCACCATATAAAATTTAAGGTATTATTTACAAATTACTCATGCTTTATTCATAAAGATTTATAAGACAATAAAGATTCATATAGGCGGTAACAATAAACCATCATAAAATATTGGAAAAAAAATCATAGTCTAATTCCCAAAATATTTTACTCGATAGTTCTCCAAAGAGAAAGTCATATAATATCCTTAGAAAAGTTATCACAAAATATCCTTCACAAAACTCAACAAGTTTGAGAATTATAAATTCTACACGTGTTAATCAACCAAAAATAAAGTAATGAAATCAATTGAGTTATGAACAAAGTTTCTCAATACGAGTATTGCATATCATGGATTCAAGCAATTGACATAGTACATCTCCACTCCACACTCAACACATACATGAATCATGATAATAGTAGTACTCGGAGTACATACATGCACCTCAAAAATATGTTAAAAAACATTGCTCAAAGCATCCTACAGGATAACAAGTTAATCCACAAAATGTAGAACCAACAAATTAAAGGTAACTAATTATATGCAATATAATGTCATACTCATAAAATATCGACATTATAACTTTTACTTTCTATTAATCATTCAACAAATATTTAGTTGACAAATTGAACATTCAACATACTTCGTCAACAACCACAAAAGCATATATTTGTTAAGATGATTACTAGGAATTAAACCAAATGATAAACATAATAACATGATACTTGGTTTACAATGAATTTCCCTTGAATTAAATCAAGTAACATGTGTGAGACCTCTATGAGATGCCCAACCGTCCTTAGCTCGTTGTAAATAAGGGCCTCAAGATGTCATCATAACTCACCAATCTGAGCAGCTAGTGAGAATCCAACCGTTGAAAAATAAGTCTCATGTGCCCCAAACATACTCTTAAAATTTCAGCCCAAACCGACCAAGGATGACCTTTGATCGGGGGTCATCTTTGGGACTACTCCCGAAAATCCGCGAATAACGAACAAGTCCTAAAGTCTCAACAATATAGCATATTAAAGGCATTAGAGAATATCAACAAAAACTCCACAAAAAAAATGAGATTTAGGAAACATTATGATACTCCGTCATGTTATCATATTCCGAAGGAGACTCCTCTTTTGAGGATGCTTGGGTCCTGCAGTGGTAGAACCTCGTGAACCAGGTGTACTACTTCTCAACCTTATGTAAACCTTTCTTCTCTATACGAAATATTTTATTCACCTAATTTTGAACCCTTTTTTGGTCAAAGCCAAATGATAAGAATGCAACAAGTTATGTATATATACAACATAATATTATTAGCCAATAAAAAAAAACCCATATTACTATATTAGTAAGGTCACATTTTCACGAATGAGTAAAATTAAAATACTCGAAATAATCACAAGTGTTAAAACACTACGAACAGTACAACTACCAAATTTTATCATTCAATAAATTCCTAATCCTCAATAAACAATTATTTGCAAAATACATCTTCACAAAACATAATATACAATATAACAACAAAATTGTTTAATAATAATAATCACTACTACATTTTTAACCTATTGCAACCCTCAAATCCGTTGCATTAGGCATCAAAATCCGTGACATTAGGCCTATTGCAACGGCCATGCACCGTAGCATCTGCTGCCGTTGCAGTAGGTCTAATGTAACGGTAAAATTACCTAACACAACAGCAAGCTTATATCCGTTGCAATAGCTAAACATCTAATGCCACGGCACCCTTACGGCCTTTGCAGTAGCTATATTTAGCTAATGCGATGGCAATAAAGTGCTAACGCAACGGCTATAACAATAATTATAATAATTTTCAATAAGAAAAAAGAAATAATAATAATAACAACAACAACAACAACAATAATAATCAAATCCAAACTTTATTAATATAAGTTGTAGACTTGTACATTGTTAGTTTGTTACCCTTAGGGAAAATTACAAAATTATATAGTATGTCACTAATTAAACCATGAAATAAGTATCAAAATTAAATATTTGTGTGTCGTGTCTTTATTAAGTCTTGCTGTGATATGATCAATTCCAGCATTCTGCTTTCCAGGCTCGGGGTTATGCTCCTTTCTTCCCCATATTCAGAACTCGCGGAAGTACTTGTTGTGCTGACTTACTTCCATCTTCTTAATCTACTTATGCAGACTAGCACCATAACGGGTACCTGAACAGTGCAACAATAAGCATCAATTAAGATACACCCATACATACACTTTCAATCTACTAACCCAACATAACAGCAAAACAAAATAAAATCCTGATGGCTGATACCACATGTATTGAACTTCAAATTACCCATATCTAATCATATACAAAGCTGTTCTAAACAAAGATTATCATATGCAGTCATCAAGAATGATTTCTATGAACATAATCAGCACTAAACAACCTAAATCAATCATATTATGGTCATAATTCATAATCTCTTTTTTTTTTCAAACCCGTAATGGGTGCCTTATATTGATAACTTATCCGTCAAAACATAAGGAGATAAATTATCCATCAAAACATAAGGAAAACCTTTGTCCTTGTGAAGTTTTTCCTTAACTTGTTCAAAATCGTAAGGCAAAACACGAGCTAAGTTATGGGCAACAGTATTCCCATCTCACTTAACATGGCACCACAAAAAAGAATTAAAATCAACACAAGAAGACAATATATCATCTAAAATAGCATCAAGAACAGTGAGGTAAACCGAGGCCTGTGATAATCTGGAGATAAGGACTTGACAGTCTGCTTCTAGAATAACATCATTCAAGCCAAAGCGTTTGGCTATTCTGACTGCCATAGCAGCAGCTTTGTTTTCTGCCACAACATGGGGCTGGTGCGCCTGGAAGAAGCGGACAACACCTTCCCTTTCTAGTCTCTTGCAACAACACCAAGCCCCACCCACCCTCAAGGTTCAGTGAGGCATCGCATTTGAGTTTAATCGTTCCCTCGGGTGGGGGAACCCATTTCTTCGAGCTTCTACATGTAGCTGTCTTGGCACCACCATAAATCTTTCGTGCATAGAGGCCACAATCCGCAGCAAGTCTGAAAACTCGCTCAACAATCACAGGGTGGTAAGTGTCTTTTCCATTCAAAATCATGTCATTCCTTCTATTCATAATCTAAGAATTACTTCATGCGATGTAACACAATTCAAATACAATAAGATTACATTCAAATAGAATTGAAAATACTCACTGTATTTCCCGACAATACCAACCTTCTTGGTTCTCTGGGCGTGTTTACATAAACAAGCATAAGTAAAAAAATTTCTAAGAAAAAGCTTAGCATAATCATCGCACATCCTAAACCAATAAATACCACAATTAAAAAAATGCTTAGTTGCTGATGCCCCACCTGAAAATGAAGGTCAGAGCTGAGAACGTTTTTTCTGTCTGGGGGAAAGAGGAAGCTTTTGTTTCATAACAACATAAACTGTCCAGAACAGATGGAAGTCGATTTTCACACAGTTGGTTTCTGACTAACCCTGTGGGTTCAAAATATTACTTCATAGATCTTCTTTTGACGACCTACAACAACTATAGGAAATCGCTTCAACAACTGTAAATTGATTATCAACCAGTACATATATAAATGGGATGGAAATAAACAAGTCAGTTCTCAAAATAGATTGAAAATTCACTACATTCAAACGGTCCAAAATCAATTAATACCTTCCACCATATACCAAGAATCTAGAAGCTGTACTAAATGGAATAATTGCAATAACCAACTACAATACGTTACAGATAGCTTGAGTGTCTTTATCAATAGCAACGATGAAGCAACAAAAAGAGAGGTACGTATATAACAGTGGAATCTATATATCTACTTGGTCATATCATTCCAACTTCCATTTCATGAAGTATGCACTCCGTATGAAAGATTAACAGTCTTAATATAAATATTTTGCATTCAATTCACTCATTGTTTATACTAGTAAATGAAGTAAATTCTCAATTTTATTTTATATGCTTAAGTTATCTTTCAATGCCCAAATTTAGATAAATCTGAGTGTGCCGACAACAATACCAATATATTGAACTAAAATCACTACAAAAGATTACAGATTATAGACAAATGTTTCATAAACCCTAGATAACAATTAATACAAACCTCAAAAGCCAGCAAAACTTACATATTACAAACAAATGTTTCATAAACCCTAGATAACAATTGATTTCAACCTCAAAAGCAACCAAACTAAGCTAATAATCAGAATTAAAATGAAAAAATTGACATCTCATTAGATCAAATAAACAAAAAGCGCAAAAAATAGTAATGATTTGGAGTTTTTAAAATGCATATTTCACAATAAACTCAAAATTATTAACTAACATTTCAAGCAACAAAAAATCAAACAAATCAATCCAAACTTATGTCGAATAAATCAGATTCATACACAATAAATTAATCTAAACTAGATTATAATTGATGATTGAAAAGAGAGAGATTGAGAGGTGTACCATTGCGACGAATGTCCACTGATGGTGGTCGAACACAAGATCCACGACCATTGGAGTAACAAGTGATACAAATAGTGAGTAAATAACAAATTACTAGAAATTCAAATCCACCAAAGAACCCTAGATTGTTGACAATTAAATCAAAGATAGTTAAACCCTAGATTGTCAAATTGATATTTGATGATTAATAATAATAAGTACCTCAACCCAGCTTCAATGGAGAGAAGAAAGCCCAGAGTACGCCGCTTCATCAGAAAGCTTGCTCAATTGAGGAGAGATAGAGTGTGTGTGAAAGAGAGAGAGAGGGTATGTATGAAAGAGGTCCTCCAACTAGTGACTCACAAAATTCTTATTAGAGGGGCGGATTATCTCAATTTAAGCGCATTTAAAAATTCCAAAATCACTACTGTGGCATTAGCCTTTTAGGCCATTGTATTAGCACCCCTAAATGGAACGACTTCTTGAAGCCGTTGCGTTAGCCCCACTTTTTGATGTACAAAGTTTATGTCGTTGTATTAGGGTTATCTAATGCAACGGCAATAAAACGAGCCGTTGCAATAACTCTTTTTAACCGTTGCATTTGATTAAAAATGTAGTAGTGAATAAACATAATTATCAAACCTACCTTATCATTCAACTAGATGATAAGTTTACGGAGTTCTGTGTAATAATCGGAGTGCCAAAGTTTAGGGATCAATGCCTCAAAATCAGCCCATGCTCATCAGATCATATACTAAAATTTTATCTCAACGACTCAACGTTCAACAACTAACATATAGAATACACACTATATAATATACCAAATTAACAATATGATGAACCCACTAAATAATTAGTGAGGAGAATCAACTCAACACATTATACAAACACAAACCCATGTGCAAAAAAACCAAAGTCTATTAAATCATATCCACCATATAAAACCAAAATCAAACCAAATTAGAAGTTACAATATCCTATGAATATGAAAAACAATAACTCATTTAATTTAATTAAAGAAATTGTTTTTGTCATTAGTCTAACAACACACGTATAAAAAATTGCTCCAAACAAAAACATATCCTAATAATATGTCAACATTCACAACTCTTTATAATAAGACACTTAATATGACATATCAAGCTAGAATCAAATATGGAAGCAATAGATCGTCTTTTAGATTGTTAGTAAATAAGCAAATTAAACGGAATATACTTATCTTAATGTTGTGTGGATCAAATTGACAATTGCCGCGTCGTGGTGAACCACTGACCTAAAAGACGATTCCGCGCTACCCCGGTGCAGTACACAACAAGTGTTCACCCTCCAGGATAAGCACGGCCCCAGAATTTGTATGCACTCACAAACCCGATTGGAACTCAGAATACTTGCCCAAAAACCGAAGGGATATTTTTTAAGAGAAGGTAAGAAATCAAAGATGGCTGATTTTTTGTTGTTATGTCTTTTAGAGGTGAATAAGGTTGATTTATAAGGCAATGGAGAGAGTAAAACGACCAGCAATTAAGGAGGAAAAAGTCATTAATCAAGTGGTGTAACATCCACCCATTATTCCCCAATAAGAGCTAGCATTTATCAACATTAAAAGGGGTAACAACTAGTTAATAAGTGACAAAATGAATCAGCAATAATGCCCATTAAATAAGCAATAAAAGGGTTCCATTAGCCATTAAATCCCAACAGTCAAAAGACTCCATATGGAAACATCCTGAAACTTTCTTTGTTTTACTTCAAGAACTTCCAACAACGAGCATTGCTATTCCGCCCCACGGAGCTATTGCCTAATGGCATTATTTCTTGACTAGATTGGCCCCATGATTCATTAACGTCTTTAGCTAGTTCGAAGTAATCACTTTTCATTTCTTGTATACGTATAAGCTGAGAGTAGAGTAATTTACAGTGTGAACCTAACATATCAGTCCAAATGAATGTTCATTTTCAAGTTATAGCTAGTAATAAGATTCAGAAATTCATGTTAATTGTATGTTTTACTTAACTAGTTTTTTTACACGCGCGATACGCACTCACCAAATTGTAAATCAAGTTTGGAGTGAAAATAATTACGTATATAATAACAATATTTGTATTCAATATTACTTCTATATGGTTTTAATTATGATTTTTATAAAAATTAAACAATTTGAATGCGTATGTAAAATTTAGTCATCTTTAGTTGTAGTATGTCTAAAATTGTTTATATTGTATGTATCATTTTTGATTTGTATTATCATGTATATAATTTGGGTTTGTATAATTAAGATTTATATTATTGTTACAAAATTAAAGTGTTTCATACTATATACGTTATATCTTGATCTATGTATTTTGATTATTTTCAATAATATAGAAATATAATAGGTTATCAGGGCGTAAGAAATGGTTAGTACTAATGAATATATGCATGCAAATTTGTTTACTAAAACTTTGATGCTAATTGTATTATTTTTATATGCACACATATGATAATGGCTCTTATTTGTACAGTTTTGCATGGCATATTTCAGATTAATAAGTAGTGACATATCTTGCTATTTGTAGCATGTATACATATCAGATTATATTCATGGATAGATTAATTTAGAAAAAAAAAATCAATTGTTATATTGGAAGGTTACATTAGTGTATGATGAGGACAATTAGCTATTGTGGTAATTGTGTAGATTATTATGCCCCTTTTGAATATACTTGACTTGTAATTATTGCTAGTATGACCACTGGGAAGTAATATTGAAATTAAGATTTCAGTTTCTGAAAATCAGATTTGTTAAAGTCCTTTCTTGTCAAAGTAATATTTAATTGCAATTAATATGTTATAAATTTTTGGCAATAACTTTGTTATATATATGGCAGTGTTTACTATTGTATAAATTAGCTATTAAATTTTGATAAAAAGCTAAGTATAGATATATATTTTAGTAACTTGTACAGGAACTTGAATGGCAAATTATGCGATGACATTCACCATTCGTTATGAAGATCAACACAAAGATAAGCTGATATGAAATTTATAATTACTGATTTATTATTGTTGTTATGTTTGAAAAGAAAAGTAGGTTTAGTTATATGTTTTGATGAGACTACTTTCTGCTTTGATTTTGTTTGCTAATTGCTTATATATTGAGTTGGTATTTTGCTAATGCATATTAATCTACAACGTATTCCTGATGAATTTAAGGACATCTTGAATGATGGTTCTAAAGGAGTTGATTTGCAATTGCATGAATATGGTAGAGTTTGGGAAGCTACTATGGCACATGAAGAGTCCAGAGATGGTTGGATGACTATCTTAGAAGGTGGTTGGGTTGATTATGTTAAAGAGAATGGGATAAGTGTTGGTGATGGTTTAACGTTTACATATATAAGGAATAGCTCTTTATCAGTACGAATTCTAAGGTCATCAGGAAGTGAGAAAGCACAAGATTTTGAGCTGGAAAGAATACTTGTGCACTAGTAGAAAAATGCAAATAAGCAGCCCCCTAATGCCACCGGTTCAGGCCAAACCGGTGCCAAAAATAAAAAGGGCACCGGTTTGAACCGGTGCCAGTGAACCGCTGCATTAAAAATAAAAAAAAAAAAAAAAAAAAAAAAACCTGGCCCTTATACTTTCTTTCTTTTTCCTTCTCTCTTTCATTTCACTGTTTCATTCGAGCCCAAACCCTTAGCTTACTGCACTCTCTTTCTCCATTTTCCCACCACCATTACAGCTGCCACCGTCGCCGGCCACCAGCCCCGCCCTTCTCTTTCTCCCCTGATCGGGTTTTCCTCCCTTGTTCTTTCTCTGTTCAATTTCAAGTGGGTTGTGAAGGTGTTGAAGCTAAGTCGTGCCACCACCTTAAGCTCGCCGCGCCACATCCCTAAGGTCGCCGCGCCGCCATGCTTCTACTGCCCTAAGGTCGCTGCGCCGTGCTTTTGCTGCCCTAAGCTCGCCGTGCTGTTGCTGCCCTCCTCCACCACCGAGCTAATTTCCTCACTAATTTCAAGGTTTTTTCTTTTTTTCACAATTATTTTCTAATTATGTACTTATATTAATGTGTTTTTCATGTTGAATCATTGTTTGCAAATTAAAATTTAGGTTTGGATATAATTATACTCTAATTTTTCTCAATTTTAGGTTGTTTTATTGGGGATTTGTGAAAATATTAGTGATTTTTCTCAATTAGTTGGATTTTATTATGTTTTAATGGTTAATTTAATTTGTTTTGGTGGATAATTTTGAAATAATTATAGAATATTAACCTTGGTAATTAAATAGGTGAAATTTGGTATGTTACTTTTAATGGTTATTAATTTGAAGTTGTTTTGATGGATTATTTTGAATAAGTTAGATATTAGAAACTTTGTTATTAAATTAGTTGAATTTTGGAAAGTTTAAATGGTTAATATTAAGTTGTTTTGATGGGTATATTTGAATAAATTAGAGATTAGTAAACTTGTTACTAAAGTAGATGAATTTTGGAATGAGTGAATGGTTACTTTTAAGTTGTTTTGATGGGTAATTATGAAAAAAATTAGAGATTAGTAACCTTGTTAGTTTAGCAATTTTGAATAAATTAGATGAATTAAAGTAGTGAATACATAGTTTAGCAATTGTTAGTTCGATGAATGATGTGTTTTAGTTTATAAATAAATTAGTGAATTGACATGTTATGAGAAAGAAATAGTACATACATAATATTTAACCTAATTTTTGTTTATTATTTTTTTTTAATAGATTTGTGAATTGAAGCACGAGTTTAGCTTGAGGACTACATATTGAGCTCAAGTGGGTAGTTGCTATATTGGTATGACTTATAAACTTTACTAAGCTATATTTCTTTCTATTTATCCATTTAATAAAAGTTTATTCATGAAATTGCAACTTGTGTATTGTTTTATTGCAAATAAATACAACAACATATAGAATACTTGCATCATCATATGCCTAGATACCCGTTCAAGGCTTTCTCATTAGGAGAAAGTCTTGAATAGTCCTCGGTTGGGACTGTTCTTGAATGTGTACTCTCACTTAGGTGGTGAATGTATGTTTTCTTTTCAATTTTAAGGAACATCTTGGCTTACCATTTTCTCACTATGTTCTCTGGGGTACATATGTGGGTAATTAATTATCTACATCGTGTACTTGGAGAACTAGGGGGAAATGTTGCCGAATTTTCCTTAAAATTGGAAAGTTAACATACATTCACTAGTGAGAGTAGACATTCAAGGGTGGGTTAGGTTGGAGTGATAAGGACCCTTTGGAAACATGCATTTTTTCACTATATGAATGGTATATTCACGTTTTGTACTTGAATTTGATTTACATAAAATATGTAGCAATTACACATTATTCATTATATGTTGCTATATATGTTTAGAGACAATTTACTAAATGGAGAAGGATCGTGGTTGGATGTATGGTAGACGCGATACATTGGAATTTTGGAATGGGGTTCAAGAGTTTACCTTAATCAAATTTTTTTTTGCAAATCAATACCTTTATGTCGGAAAATGTGGTTTGACCCATTTTCCTGCGTTGACTACCCCAATCTACCCACGAAACCACCTCTCTCCCCAGCCACACCCACAAAACCACCTCCCTCCTAAGCCACACCCACAAAACCACCCTTTCATGGCGTTAACCACCATAAACACACCCCCTTTTACGGCGTTGAACACTCTAAACACACCCCTTTAACGACGTTGACCACCCTAAACCCTCCTCTATAGCCCTAGCCACCCTTCTCCCCTCCATTGGCAGTTTCGTGGGTGCAAATGGCGTAATATTGGTGGGTGGCAAAGGCCTTTATTGTCCTTGTGTTGATTGTAATAATGTGAATGTGGTCAATAGTGTTGAAATAATTAGAGATCATGTATTATGTTGTGGGTTTAGGCATTTATATCATGTGTGGATTTGGCACGGAGAAAGTTGAGAGTACAGTAGGGATCTTGATCGGAATGATGTGCTTGTTAGAAGCAATGAGATTCATGTGGATGAGGAATACGAGAATGACGACTATATTGTTGATAAT